CCAAGCACTCAATCTTGTACCCAATGAAAGGTTTGAAGAACAGGGAACTCAGTTCCCACCCCAGTTCCAACCCTCTCCTTGCCTGCACTAAAAAAGAAACTCAGTACACATTAGCGGTCGGCAGCGGGCATTCTCCTGCCCACCAAGAACAGACTGGGGGGGAAATGAGCTGGGTTTCCCCACCTGCCAGTGTCAACCAGTGTATCTTTTCCATCTCCTTGGAGATGGAGGTCTCCCCAGTCATTGCTGAACTTGATGTCTGATGTGTCTCACCTGGCTCTTCCCTGTGCAGATACCTGGAACTGGAAAGCAGTGGCCATCGGAATGAGGTCAGACTGCATTACCGTTCTGGCACTCACCGTCCTCACACAGAAGTGTTTCCTTATATTTTGGCTGATGACAAGTGGCACAAGCTGTCCTTAGCCATCAGTGCCTCCCATTTAATTTTACACATCGACTGCAATAAGTAAGTAGATTGTTCTTGTTTCAAGAAATGGAAGCTTCTAGATTTCTGTCTACTCACATTCTTCCTCTGGTGTTTCGTTTTTGTAGAATTTATGAAAGAGTGGCAGAAAAGCCTTCCATAGATCTGCCTCTCGGCACCACGTTTTGGTTGGGACAGCGAAATAATGCACATGGCTATTTTAAGGTATCTTTAAACTAGAATCTGAGCACAAAGTATAAATGTAAATGCTTCTTATGAATTTGAAAATGTATGTTCCATCTTTATGATATGAAACAAAATTCTGTTTCTGTATTTTTATTTGTATGTATTTCTATTTGTTTTCTGTTTTTGTGCTTTAGACCACTTTTCAAACTGGTAAAATCACTCCTTGATAAATTTTACCATTAATGTAGAGACGATCACAGAACCACAATCAGTAATTAGCAGGTCATTCTTGAAATTAAACCTTGAAATAATGAAAACATAAGAAAATAAATAAAATCCCAACATATAAATAAGCTGTCTGCCACTGAGGTATAGCCTTTGGTGATTCCTTTGTAGGGCTGTTCATGGACAAGGGTACAAAACTCTTCAGCTTTGATTATTAAAGGATTCCTCACTCTCTAGCAAGTTGGGAAGACATGCACAAATCTGTTAAAATAGAAAGCTGTCAGCATCCATCTCTAGTATGAACTTAGAAACACTACGATTCCATCATTGGAGGGGAAAAGCCATTTATCTCTCACTTAACTCTCTGAAGGTCTTAAGAATGAATAAGTGACGTTCAGAGAAGTGCTTTCTTGCAGCTTGAGGTGCAAGTGTTTTCCCAGGGCCCTGAGGCACCAACAACGAGGGAGCGGCCTCACAGAGTTAAGCCAAAGACAGAAATTTGTCTGACTCATGAGAGAGAGGCACCCACAAGTTTAAATCCATATTCCAAGCAAAATGTATAATGTTGTAGAAATTATCTAAAACTTATTTAAACATTATCTGTTATCTGGAAACCAGATGCTTGGAATATACTATTGCATTTAATCCCTGGCTTTGCTGCTGTTGATGAGGGTCCTTCTTCATTCTTATAAGCATGCATTAACCTGCATAGAGATTTGAAGTAACCTGCTCCAAACCAGGCAGCTTGTAGATAACAGATGTGGGGAATTGATTCCACCCTTGAAAAGCTTAAAAAAGAAAATCAATGCTCTTTTCCCACGCAAGGGATATCAGATGCATGCTGTGAGTTCCAAATCTCTCTTCTATTTAATTATGATAGCCTTGGAGCCCAGATGTGGCTTCACAGTTCCCACACATCAATTATTTGTAGGACTGTAGAGTCCACCATCTTTACTGTAGTCCGAGAATGCTAATGCTGTCCTTTAGAGTTGTTTAGTGCACAGGTCATGTGATAGTGCATAGTAGTGTAATTTTCATGTCACTTCTTCTAAATGATAAAAACAGATCCTGTAACTGCCACACAGTGTACTTAAACTTTTATCATTCACATTGACACATGCTGTCAATCAGAGCAAACATGCAGAAGATTCACAGACCAGTATTTGGCTGGTAAGTCTTTATAAGAACATTCAAAATGGTCTTATAACGTGTTGGTTTGATCATCCCTGTTATTTGACTATTTTGCATTCTTCAAAGGGATAAAGTGAAATATCAATGAAAGTACATCATAAAGTTGATGAAAGAAGAGAGGTGGGTGAGGGGGAGCTGGAACATAGCTGCTCACATCATTTCTGTCATCATTGGCCTTTGCTTTATGAGCCTTGGAAGCTGGAGGCTTAACAGCTAAGGATGCATGAAAATGTTGCCTACAAACACGAGAAGTCTTCTTTGTAAAGTGGATCATTTACAGCTGGCATTTAAAAAGCCTTATGCTGAACTTTCACATGGTGAACTCCACACTATCTTGCTGTACCTGTTTACTAAATCCATTGTCCTTCCTGAACTGGGAGCTAGTTCTAAGGCATCCCGCTGAAGAATGAGAGATGTTCACGTAAGCCTTGCTCATATGACTCAGTCTGCCTTCCCTTCCTTTTTGATCATCGGTTAATTCAAAATTGGTCTCAGTTCTGTGGTGATAAAGCCAAAAGTGATTTCCAAGTCAATTCTTAAAGGTCACCTTCAAGCACTACTTCTATGGTGAACTAAAAATAACCTCAAAACAACATGACTGTAGAAGAGAGGCCACTTATTTATATCTTGACATTTAATCTTAAGGCTTTAAAAATATTATCAGTAAGAGACTACATAGGCAATTATCTATTTTACCTGATTAATTTCCTTCCCCTGGCATGGAGTAGAATGAATATATCCAGAAAGACTCTATTTTGGGGAATTTTGGTGGGTGTGTTCTTTAATGTTTTTCCTCATGAACTTGACTATTGAACATAATTTAGGTAAATGAAAATAATACATCTTTCTTTTCATGCACAGGGAATAATGCAAGATGTGCAATTGCTTGTCATGCCCCAAGGATTTATTGCTCAGTGCCCAGATCTTAATCGCAGTAAGTCCATTAGCTCTTGCATTCTGTGGGGTGATGAAAAGTGTGACTCTTGCTTAATTTTGTCCAGAATGTCAGTTTGAAATTGGAGTTCGCACATAATGGCTTTGAGCATAGACTTAACCAGATTGAACCCCTTGTAAATAAAACTTGATCGATGTCCCGTTTGTAATTGCAGCCTGTCCAACATGCAATGACTTCCACGGACTTGTACAGAAAATCATGGAACTGCAGGATATTTTAGCCAAAACATCAGCCAAGGTAAAAGCGACTCAGAAATACAGTGAAGGTTGCTCAAAATCTGTGTGATTCCCAACAGATCCTTTTGTAACAATAGATTTTCATCTTTGAAACATTCCTTATAGCATTACGATGTACTAGGACTGAATTGAAATTCTTGCTCAAGGAAAAGGTTATGATATTTATTAAAGTTTATAAATATTTAAATCCTAGCCATCTGTATAGCAAATGACTCAGTAAATCAGGGATGAAGCAGGTTACCTGGTTTATATTCTGCAAGACTTGTTCTCTAGCTTTTGTTTTTATTTCTATTTAGCTTTCATTACAAGTAGAAGACAATGCAAAGAATCTGAACACCATAACTGGGTCAAGGAAATGGCTCCACAACCTTTTTGAGCTGTTAGGCTGCTAAACATTGTAGGTTTATTCTTAAGGTCTTAAGCACATAATCAAGTTTACTGAAAATTCTGCTAGATTTTAAATTTTGCATAGTGCTGATGGATGTCCCGAAGGCCACATTGTACAGTGTTATTTACACAATGTAAATCCTAATTTTTTTTTCAGTAAAAACATTAATGGAATTAGACATTTTTTTGAGAAATGAAAACTTCTCTACATTGTGGGCTATTTTGAATAAGTCTTCAATTTGTGTCTTATAAAATATGAAATTTGTTTTAAAGACAGGGTAAATTTTCACAAAAAGAAGGTAGGAAAATGCTTCTTTTAAAACTACAGGCTCAATGTACTCATAGTAATTGGTGATGGCACGGCCGTGGTCGTCGTTGCTCTTTCCTTAACCCACATGCGGGCTAGAGAGCTGCGTTTCTGGTGGCTGCGATGGTGGCCGTTGAGCCCTGTCTTTGTGCTGCAGTTGTCCAGAGCTGAGCAGCGCATGAACAGACTGGATCAGTGCTATTGTGAGAGGACCTGCACTGGGAAGGGAGTCACCTACCGAGAATTCGAGTCCTGGACAGACGGCTGCAAGAACTGCACATGCCTGGTATGACTGCATTTGCGTTCACACGGGGCTCTGAAGCCCCCACTCTTTAAAAATTTATTAGAACAATGTAATCATGAAAATTTCAAGACCCATTTTCCTCTAGACACAACACTAAAGTGGCAGCAAACCTGGCCACATTGAAAGAACTGTGTGTTACATTATTAAAGATGCTTGCTAGCTGTAATGGAGATTATGGTCTAGGAATGCTATAAGGTTTATCGGCACATACACGAAGTTAGCAATTTAAATTAGGTTGGTAAGGTGATCCCAAAGGATTCTCTCCTACAGTCCTCAGTGTCTCTTGGGACTTTCCCCCCATGCTTTTATTAATGAATTTTAATGAAACTAAATTATACATGGTATTAAATATTATATAGAGACTGAGCAACATAAATAATGGGGTTTAAAGAAATAGTCTTTAATAGTTGGCTAATAGAGTGGAATACAAATTATACAGTTTAAATAAATGTTATCTTACCCAATTCTCTATAGTAATAAAGTAAATTATTTTAGTGCATTATTTCAAATCCATGTTCATTTTTCAGAGACATTCAAAGTAAGTTTTTAAACTTTTAAATTGCATATGAACTCATTTGTTGAAAGGTTGGATTTCTGTAAAGGAGTCAGATCTATTTGAGTTACCTTTAAAATATTTTCCCATATTCATTCAGCTAATTCAGAAGCAGAATATCATGTATATTAAAAAGATCATTGGTGACCCATAACTACTGGGAGAGGGAGAGTTGGCTTCCTTTAGGGGTATCACCCTAGGTTAACCAGGTTCCAGTGGATGGACACACAAAAGACATTTGGGGACACAAACTTGGCTCCATAGGCCTTAACATATATGACAGAGTACATGGCATCAGGTGGGGGTGGGGTATAAGGGAGGTACAGATAAGGGAGTGGGTCTAAATATGATCAAAATATATTGTATAAAATTAGCCAAAGTTCAATGAAAAGATCAAAAGTAGTTCATAAATAGACATGAGTGAATGTACACATGTATGTATCTGTGTCTGCATGTGTGCATCTGAGTGCGCATGTGCACACATGTATACATCTCTGTGCATGCGTGTGAATGCAACTGTGTGTGTGCATGTCATCTGTATAGGTTTACACACCTCTGTACCTCTGTGTATGCACATTCATGTGTACATCTGTGAGTGTGTGCATTCACACCTGTGAGCACCTTTGTATGACTGTGAACACACATGTGGATGATATGGTTTTTATTTGGGAATATAATATACCAAAATCATAATATTTTACCATTATAGTCTAGCTAATGAGGACCAGAAATAAAACTGAATCAAATGCAGAATGCGATAGAGTGAGGTTCATAGGATGAATAGGAATGCCAGAGCAGCCAGCTACTTGGGAGCTTTGGGTGACCTTTAGGGATCAAATTCCTGCGTCTGCCTGCAGTCAGAGGCCTCCTGGTGATTGCCATGTGCCTTGCCTTATGGGGGTAGCTGAAGTTTAAACAGCCATTGGAAGATTCTGGGTTTGAGACTATGACTTCCAGGACTGCAACAGATTAGCAGTCATCCCAGAAACTTCCTGAGATTTGATGGTTGGCTTTGGAGTAATCTGGGGATAGTTGGGTGCTGTAGGCCAATGAGCCTGCTGTTTTCCTGTGTCCTTCCCCACCACAGAAGATGAAGACTCTGGCTCAGTTAGATCAGTTGCTAGATGGACATGGGTGCCATTCTTTCACTGCTAGGACGCGGTCAGCATCGCTGTGGGCCAGCGTTACGAGTGTTGCTGAAGAGAACAGGGATATACTATGCTAAGTTTGAAATTTAAGAAACTGATTTTAAATGATTCTTACTTGTAATTTCTTTGAATATTGTTTGCTTTCCAGAACGGGACCATCCAGTGTGACACTCTGGCCTGCCCTGTGCCTGACTGCCCTCCTAAGTCGGCGCTGGCATACGTGGATGGCAAGTGCTGTAAGGAATGCAAATGTGAGCGAAACTCTTTTGATTAATACCTTTTGGAAAAATACAACTTTGTATTAAAAATATTTAGTTCATCTGTTTAAACTGGATGAGTTAAGTAGCTCCCAGAAATGGGGAAATAAGAACGTGTTTTGTGTTTCGGTGATCTATTTTAGATTCTTCTGTTCTAGCAGAACACTTTCTTTTGAAAACTTTTGGGTACAGTGCTGGGCATCGGAGAAATGTGTAGGAAGCTCACTGGGAAGCATTCCACCCATCACACTACTTAATCTAAATATCCACCAGGTAGACAAAGAGTCCACACTTACTTTTCTGTGTCAAGGAAATCTGTGATGTAAGCGATTACCAACAGGAAGTGTCGTTGGCCTCTATTACCCCAGACTGCAGAATCCTTTTACACAGGATCGCCCAGTGCGTGTGGGGCCATCACTTTTAAAAACTACAAAATGCTTGCCTGACTGTGTGAGAATGCCTTTATCACACATTGTATGAGGTTCATTTCCAATGTCAAGAACTTTTAGAGTCATCTGTAACTATTCTCAAATGCGTTCTAGATCATTCAGTAACAGAACTTAATTTATCTTTGAAACTAATTTTTCAAAAGACTTTTCTGAAGCCTTGACTAAAATGAGCCCCTAAAATAGTTTACTGTTTTTGCCCAAAGAAATGACATGAACACCAAATTGTCACCAACTTTGTGAAATGTAGAGCGCTACGTGTGTACACATATGTGTAGATACTCATAAAGGCAGAATGGAATGAGCAGAGGTGAGGAGGGGGGGAGAGAGAGAGAGAGAGAGAGAGAGAGAGAGAGAGAGAGAAAATGGAGAATGGTGGGGGCACACAGTGGGGGAGAAGGGGAGTTCAGCTGCTGCTATGGCTGAGGTTTCTGCTTACAGACTTCATTACTTTCACACACCTAACAAAGTCTTTAAAATGTGTATGTACCACAAATCATAGAAAAAGCAGGAAGCTTCTTTAATAAGATCCTTTAATGATATCCTATCTCAATACATCCAGAGTGCGTTTAATTTCCTCAGGAAGTTCATTTCTTGAAAGCACACTAGACTAGTTAGGTTGATCCTGAGGAACCAGGGAGGACTGAATACAGTTGGCTTTACACACCTCAGTAATTTCCTTGGTCAAAAGCATTTTACAGTTTCCAGGGGATTTTCTTTTTTTTATTTTTATTTTATGTGTATGCACGTATTGCCTGCATGTAGGTAAGCGCACCCTTGTCGTGCAATGCCCACGGAGGTCAGAAGAGGCTGTCAGATCCCCTGGGACTGGAGTTACAGACAGTTGTTATCTGCCGTGTAGGTGCTGGGATTCAAACCCGGGTCGACTGCAAGAACAACCAGTGTTCTTAACCTCTGAGCCATCTCTCCAGCCCCTCTCCTGGGGATTTTCTTAAAAGCTGGGGGCTGTTACTGATGTTTTATAGCAGCTTTTGTTGGTGTTCGCAAGTAGAAGGATTCTGTTCAGGGCCGTGTATTCGTAGTGCAAAGCTGGACTCATACTCTTTCTCAACTAAAAAATCAGATGTGTTTTTGCTTTATGTGTATGACTATTTGCTTGCATATATGTGTGTGTTCTATGTGCATGCCTGTTGCATGCAGAGTCCAGAAGAAGAAGTTGAATCTCCTGGAACTGGAGTTACAGACAGCTGTGAGCTACCATGTGGGTGCTGGGAACTGAACCAGGTCCTCTGCAAGAGCAGCCGGTGCTCTTGACTGCTGAGCATCTCTCCGGCCCCTTTCTATTTTTAAATCCTTATTTCTTCCCATAGTTCTATTGCTACCTGTGACTGTTGCACATTTACACTGAATGTTGGTCAATTTTCTTAGAAGTTGATTGAAATAATGCACCATTGGAATGGATACATAGTGAGAAGTTAATTTCAGTGCTGGTTTTATCATTGTCTGTTGTCGGCAATAAGAGGCCCATTAAATCATAATACTTGAAATCTTCCCAGTAAGCCTGTGGTGAGACTTGATGAAACAATGAAATATTTTGAGAGTCATTGGTATAAATGATGGACAGCTGTCCGGGAGTTTCGCATCACATATAAAATCTTGAAAGCTGGAGTTAATGTGTGAACAGACTATAGCATCACTGAAGGCAACTCAAAATCAGCCATTTGACTCATTTTATGTGGCTAAAATTAATAAAACATGACATTGTGTTTCTTGTCATACCTAATGATTTTTCAGGTAAGTGTCATAGAACCTGGAAGGAGGGTTGTGTCCATGTTTGATGATTTGGTGAATTGAACCTCTAGTTCTTTTGCGACAGGGTCTCTTCCCCATAAGACCCAGGTTGACTTTGCACTTTATTTATTATTTTATTTATTCATTATAGGAACTCATGTAGCCCAGCCTGACTTCATACTGTGTAGTTGAGCATGACCTTGAACTCCTGATCCTTCTGCCTCAACCACCCACCAAGAGTGCTGGTGTGCCAACATGCCCGTTTCTGCAGTGCTTGGCATGGAGCCTAGAGCTTCCTCAATGCCAAGCAAGGACTCTGCTAACTGAACCGCATTCCCAGCCTTGGCCTTGATCTTTTCTCCTCCAGCCTCATCCACCTGAGTATGTAATTATAAACATCATGCCTGGTCTGAACTAGTTTTAATTCAGCAATTTAAAAGTTCTCTTATTTATTGAAAATTTTGTTCATGAATATTATGTTTACATCTGAAGAACTTGCCTTCTTCCTGGCTTAGCCACTGAGCAGTTATGGTAGGTAACAGAAAGGATAAAATCTACTCAGGAATGCAAGCAACAAATCATGAAGGCACTGGTAATCTCGGCCATAGTGAAGTCACACTACTCCTGACACTGACTGACAAGACACCTTGCTTGGGTCGTGTTTGACCTCTACAGTTGAGTGGCAGGTCCTTGCCTCTGGCTTCCTCATAAGCAGCACAGGATTGCTCGAGGTCCCCACAAAGATCGTTCAGAAGGAATGTGTGCTACCACCCACTGCCTTCTTCAAACCATGTGCCACAATGGACCCAAGGCATCCACTTTTAACAACCAGCTACGCTAACCAAGATGCTCTGGAGGTGCAGGGGAGTCGAGATGGAGCGGAGACAGAGCGGCGACGGAGCGGCGAAGTGTGCGGCACTCACCTGTGTTACTCTTCCTCGTTGCCAAGGCCGACTTCCTGTTCTTCATCTCAGGCACAGGCTCCCAGAGAGCAACAGCAAGAGTCAGTGACACCGACTCGAGACAGCGCTAGTATATGTGAAACAGAAGTATTTTGAGTGACTTTTACCTCAAATAAAATAGGTTCAAGATAATGATAGTATGCAAAACTCAACCTAGGCTAAAAACAAAGAATTTCAGAAACTACTTGGCAAAGTTCTAGGACATAAGTCAAGAGTCATGAAGTTAGCAAACATTTAAAGGCATTCTGTGTCATCATCCATTTTCTTGGAGCATCGATGATAGAGTCAGGCTTGGACACAGCTTTGAGTCACAGAAAAGGCGGTTTCTTAAAATAGCCCATGTAGATTCATCTGACCAGTGCTAAAATGTCTCTCAGAAAGACAGTTTCAAACAACAGTAACAAAACCCACACGCAAAAAGAACCCAAAGACCAATATTCCCAACATTAGTAGAGAGATTAAATGCAAGAAATCTTCTGATTGAATAAAATCAGTTTCTAGTACATGATATAGACTACATTGTAATGGTCACTCTGATGATTGCTTTAAGGTTAATTTAACAAGACTCCCGGTTTAGATAAAATAGGCTCAGTACCATGTGTTTGCCTACTGAAAAGTTATGCTAGTAGATTACAAATCATATTTTCTGGGTTAATTCAAACCAGTTGGCTTCACAACTTTAGCTGTGCGTCTTTGGTCATGGTGTCTATTTTTTATAGTGTACAAAATTTTATGCCTTATAATTCTTTCTGTAAATTTTGTATTGAAGTTGTATATTTCATTCAGAACATCTTAATCATCTTTATGCCCCCTTCTCCATTGGAGCCTCCCAGAGGCCCCCATCCCGGATTTCATGCATTCTGTCATTTGTGTTAAGGCCTATTGAGACAAGTTAGTGTCCCCAGGTGTCCTTCAGTGCGAGTTCGTCCACTGAAGTCTGGTCAGCCTTTCTAGAATCCCTTCCTTTAAGAAGGTCAGCTCTTCTTCATCCAGCAGTAATCAGCTGTCAACAGTTCTTCCACTAAGAGTGGGGTCTGCTACCCATTTCCACAGGTCTGTGCTGGGTTTTTGTCTGCTTGAGTTTGCCCGGGTCTTGTGCATGCTGACACCATTGCTGTAGGTTCATATGAGCAAGGTCACAGGAGCCTGTAAGACTATTTCCATATGGTCAGTCTTTCAATCTATTTTTTTTAACAGCTTCTATTCATCTGTAAACTGAATGATGATATCTACTTCTTAGAGTCTGTTAGAGATTGAATAAGTGAAAGTGTTTAGATGCTAGTGTGGTTTTTATTAAAAGAAACATTAGTGTTTTACTGGTAAAATATAAAGTACCTGCAGTTAAGAGAAAGCATGCGGCCTTTGTTTTTCCATGTTGGAGTCATCCCAGTCAGTATACATGTTCCACATCTACCTGCTTACCCCAAAACTACATAATTTCATTTTTCTTTACAGCTGAACAGAATTCCATTATGTTTATGTACCACGTTTTAATTATCCATTCATCAGTTGAAGGATGGACTGCTTCCATTTCCTGGCTATCTGTGAATATACGAGTAGCAGTGACCCTGGCTGAGCAAGGGTCTCTGTAGTAGGAGGCAGAGTCCTTTGAGTGTATACCCAGGAGTGGTGTAGCTTTGAGAATTCTCCACCCACACTGACCTCCACAGTGGCTGTACCAGTTTCAATCCCACCAACAGTGAATGAGAGTCCCCCTTTCCCCGTATCCTCACCAGCACTAGATGTCAGTTGTTTTCTTGGTGTTAGCCATTCTGATTAGGGTAAGGTGAAATCTCAAAGTAGTTTTAATTTCCTTGTCTCTTTGATAAGGAAG